CTGAACTCCACCTGCCTCATAGGAGGTACGCCCGACAACTCCTCTGGAAATACATCCGGGAACTCACGCACTAGCGGAACCTCCCCCACAGACCTCGGTCTCTCAGACTCAACCCTCACATCCATAACATATGCTATAAATCCCTTACATCCCTACTGAAGGCTCTGCCTCGCCCTGGCGACTGAGCATAATGCTGAACCGGAACGTGTACCCTTGCCGTACACCGTAAGGACTCCCCCACTAGGGTCTCGCATGGTCACCAGCTATCGCTTGCAGTTGATGATCGCTCCAAATCTGCTCAACCAGTCCATGCCCACGATGACACAGACACACCCCATCGCAATAGGGACCAAATCTATCGGAAACTCAACCCCGAAAATCTCGAGTACACAACCACGTATCACCTCGGTGGCATACACCGCTCTCTCATCCGCTATGGAAACTCTCAGAGGTCGACTCAACGCCTCTCTACTAGTACTGATGTGTCGGCTAAAGGCCAACGATACAAAAGATCGACTCGCACCCGAGTCAAATAACACTAGAGCAGGTACATAATTCACAAGGAAGGTACCTACACATAACATAATATAAGCACAATCATCACAGAATGTAAAAGAATACGTGAAAGAGTACATACTGGCCACGACATCGGGCGCTGCGCGGACCTCCTCCGCATTCAACTGGAAGGCTCTCCCACGTGCCTTCGGTGCTTCAACCTTCGCAGGCTGAACATTCGCAGCTCTCACCGCAACAGGGGTTGATCCCCGAAATGCTCCCTGCGCTGACCCCCGCAACTGTGGACACTCTGCCTTCCGGTGTCCAGTCTGGTTGCAATGAAAACAGACTGAAAAACCCTTAGGGCAATTTCTTGGTCATGTGTCCCTCCTTGCCACACTTGTAGCAAGACCCTGCTCTGCACATCCCCTCGTGGCTCTTGCCGCACTTGACACAAGTGCGACCCTTCTGGTTCCCAAAATCTCGAATCAGCGAGTTTGACCCGCTTGGCTGCCGGCTGAGACTGAGCCGGCCGTCGATCCTTTCCCTGAGACTCAGCCTCCTCCCTGGCTTGGGTCTCCAACTCTATCTCCCTCTTCCGGGCATTTGCCTGAAGCTCGGCAAATGTCCAGTACGTCGAGTTCGCCACGAACTCACGTATATCCCTCCTCAGAATGCTCAAATATCGGCTCATGCGTGCCTGCTCGGAGGACACGTGCTCTGGGCAGAACATCGCCCGCTCATGAAACATCCTCGTAATCACCGTAACAGACTCAGTACCCTGCTTGAGGGTCAGAAACTCCTGGGCCAAACGCTCCCTCTCCACCTAGGGAACGTACTCATCTCGAAACATAGCGGTGAACCTCTCCTAGGTCACCGCAGCAAGCTCAGCAGGCGTAAAGTGCGTAGTCACAAACTTCCACCAGTCCTTCGCTCCCAAGTGAAGCTGGTTCAGCGCGAACCGGACTCTCAAATGCTCTGGAGACGAGCAAGTAAAGAAACACCCCTCTATGTCAGAAATCCATCTCATCGCCGCGATCGGGTCCTGGGTCCCGTCAAACTCCGGTGGTTTTGTGTTGCTGAACTCTCGGAATAACAACGCATCACCACCCTGCGGCCTAGTCGCAGCTATAGTTGTAGTGGCCGCAACAACATCATCCTCAGAAAGAGAAGCATATCTCTCATCAAATGTCTCCATCAGAGTGGTCTTGATAGACCCGAACATCTTTGGTATCTCTGCCCTGATGGCCGCAGCCACATCCTCCTAGATGATCCTACGGATCTCATCATCACTTGAACTGCCGATCACTGGTGTGTGGCGCGTCCCAACCATGGTCTCCTTCTGAAATACAACATAATAATATTATAGACCCTTTTCGAGTATAAATACACTCGATAACTCCACCCTACTCGTTCCTTGGTGCCCAAAGGATTCTTACTTGGACTGCGTACCAACCCGGTATCTTCAGTAGTACGGGCCCAATACTACCGTCCATACCACGTTGGCATTCATCCCAAGTCCTCCTCCTTAAGCCGCAAATCCCAAGTACTCTACTCTTTCTATCATGTGCTACTCACTAACAAAACTCTCATAAGCACCTCGCTGCTATCTAAATCACTCTTAAGCATCTCTAGCAGCGAAACCCCTAGACTAAGGCATCATGTATCAGGCCACTCTAGTCCTAATAAGAATACCTAGTCTACTCTAGCATGCATATCGTAACTCGTCATATAGCATACATAACATATCTGATAATCACTTATTAGGAGGGTATTTTGGGAAATCACCGTTCGGGCGTTGGCTGATCGTACACACGACTCTACTCTGTTTGTCTCAAGACTCTTTTTACTCTTTTTCAAAAAATATTATTTTTATTATTAAAAGTTTCCTCAAATCCCCAGTTTGAGTTCAGATACGCCCGAAGATATATCCGAATCCCTCAAACCAAGGCTCTGATACCAACTTGTAACACCGTAAAAATTTGAACAATTTTTCACTTTTGTAACCCATAAAATATCATTTGAAAACATAAACAAATCATTATATCAACATTGTATCAATACAAAACCCAAGATCATATATATATATATATATATATATATATATATATATATATATATATATATAAACTCCGATATGCATGTGTACGAATCATGTCCGCGCCTTCCCGCGATCATCGCTGGTACCTGAAACACATAACACATAACACTATAAGCATAAATGCTTAGTGAGTTCCCCGAAATACCATTCTAACACATAATAGCCACTCGAGGCTGTAACTTTGTTGACCCTCAGGTCTATGTGTCTCAGTGGGGCCCTCCAGCCCCAACTCTCTATGGCCCCTCTGGCCCTAACTTTGTGGACCCAAAAGTCCTAACTCTGTGGACCCGAAGGTCCTAACTCTGTAACTCTGAATCATACATATCACATATCACAATAAATCATAAATAACATGCAATTACACTGGCATATAACTCTAAAATACTCTATCACATAACTCTGTTACCACACTAGGTACAGTATAGTGAGAAGACTCACCTCAGACGTCTCGGTAAATCTCTGACTCGGTAGGAATATTACCTAGTCTTCGCCTATTCACATAAAGTAAATACTCTTATAAATATAATTCTCAAGACTAGACTCAGCCTGCCTTTGGCACCTTTAGGAGGGAAAAAGGCTATTTTACCTCCCTCTCGACACAAGTACTCCATTGACCAAACCCTAAAAGTCAACGGTCACACTTTGACCCTACTCGCCGAGTGCACCCTGGTGACTCGGCGAGTTCACACATGTTCTTTAACACTTTGTCCCGCTTGGCACGCCGAGTCCCTCCCTATGCTTGACAAGTCATACTAGGCATGAATCGCGGGGCCACCACGACTCAACTCGCCAAGTCTCAAGAACAACTCGGCGAGTACCGCCCTGAACTCCAGTCCTCTAACTCCCTTCTGACTCACTGAGTCATCCCCCAACTCAGCAAGTCTACTCACTGAGCAATTTACGTGAAACCCTAACCCTACTCGCCGAGTCTCAGGAACAACTCGGCGAGTTCATGCCATGCACAAACTCTACTGGCCTCCTGAGGTAGATCTGTTTCCCTAAATCAAAGATCTGGCCTTCCCAAGCATGAATGTCACGTAAAGCTCCAAACTTGATGCTTGTATAACGACAACAAGGCATCAAAAGGAGATTTAGTCCCAAAAATGGCAACCTAAGTCCAATAACCCCAAACTGATCCATAAAGCTCCAAGGGTTAAGGTCTCTGGACCTCTTTGAGTCCAGATCCAAGGCACAAACTCGAAGAGGGACCATTTGCTCCACATAATCACTCTCCAAAGGGGTTAGAAAACCCTAACTCTAATGATCAACACCAAAACTGAAGGAGGTTCGAACTATTACCTCAAAATGAAGTCTCTGAATCCCTGGAACTGCTAGAATCGCACCTCCCCTCTTGCTCTTGCACCTCCTTCTTGCTAAACCAAAGATACAAGGATCAAAAGTGTCTTCTTCTTCTTCACAACGATTTGGCTCACTTAGGGTTCTCTCAAGGGATTGGTAGCCGCAATGAGAGGCTATAAGTGCCCTTAAATAGGCTCCAAACCCGGGGATTTAGGGTTTCATTAAACAGCATGGACTCGCCGAGTCCACTCATGGACTCGCCGAGTCCAAAGCGAATCCGGATGAACAATCACGACCCTACTCGGCGAGTCTACGCATCAACTCGCCGAGTTCCTTCTCATAATTCAAAATAATTAAATAAAATAATATTACCTGGAAACCCGGCTGTT